GGCTTTCTGTTGTAGCTAAGGGCCAGGAAGTGGAAAGAAATGTCCTCAATTAGACACAGAGGGCAAAAAAAAACCTGACAGGGGTTATAACCTGCCTTTACCCTTGTAGCACTACCCCCTTAGCAGTCACTGGGTCCCCCTATAGTCATGCACAGCCAGGCAACACACATTTTTCACACAGACTTGCATCCAGGGAACAGTAGCCAGTCCTTGAGCTTGTTTTTTTGTTTGTGTTTTTTGGATTTTGTTTAGGGCAATATAAACTTGTATGGGGTTAAGGGGTGTATGGGATGCCCAAGGGAATAGCAACAGAGGACAATCTTTCTGAACTATGTACAAGTCTTTACAGCAAAAATTCTCTTCTGGAGAGCTAGTCAGCATCTCCTGTAGTACCACCCCAGACCGTAGATACTCCTTATCCAGCTGTTCTGGGGGAATCCCTGGGCAGGGGATCCAGTGCCTGTCACTTTAAGTGAAGACGGTCCTGGATAGTAGCTAATCCAGTTTCCCACCAGAGTGCTTCTTCCCCTTACTGGCCCAGGATGTGCAGGCCTACTCAGTCCTTCTCCTATGAGCTGCTGGGTTGGTGGCTGCTCTCAGGCCTTCTGCCCTGCCACTAATTCCCTGCTGCATATGTGATCCTACTTACCCATCTTCCACCCAAACTCTCAAGCACTGAGCAGGCTCAAACTCTCTTAAGGGCTGTCCTGGCCCAAGCTAAACCTTCTGTGGGGGACTGGCCAGAATCCCTTGCGAGTGTGCAGACCAGCCACTCCTCACTCCCTCCCACTGCTTCTAGAATTTTCTCCAAACTCTAGAGCAGAGGGAAGTCCCAGAGAGCAGGTCTGCAGAGCCTCTCAGCCCTTGACCGATATTTGACCCCTCTGACTATTACACGTGGGCTGCTACTCAGCCCTTCTAACTGAGAATTAGAATCTAGCTCCCCCTAGAGCAAAAAACTTTGTCTTTAGTTCTACTCTAAGCCTTTGAAACTAAAACCTTTTCCAAGGACACACAGAATATGTCAGCTAAGCATTTTGTTCCATAATGTAATATTGCCACAAAAGCAGTTCACTCATAAATGTTTTACCATTGCTAAATGGTGTGAAACTGTTGGAGAAATAGTGAATATTGCCTTTTAAAGTGGAAATCACAGCATTTTTTTTTTGCTTTCATAGTAATCCACAACCCCAATATGCCTTACTTGTCCTTTTTACATTATTTCTCTGATATATCAGGCAATAAATCTCGGTCCCAATCTGCATAGCAATTCCTATGGGTTATAGTGGAGGCATTACAATAAAATGGCAGACATTCTATCACTTCTGGTGCCAGCACAGCTCAGAGTGTGCACTGCTACCGGACGCCTCCAGTGATATCGGTGCCCCTCTTCCGCCCATAGAGACTTAATGACAGCACAGTACATCTCTGTATCAGAGCTACTTAATGTTTTACAGAGAAAGACTTTTCAAAGTGTAAAGTGACTTCATTACTTTTCTATCAAGAGTCTCCTTTGTCAATTTTAGATGCAAATTGAGTCCCTGAGCCGTCTGACACAACCTAATTTATAAGGTTCAGAATATTCTGATCCTTTATGTCTTTCTACCTTTATTACTAAAATCATCTAACAGTTGAACAGACTATACATTGAGATATGTACATTTTAGAGTAGTATATGCTGGAGGATTTGATATTGTAATCTTGGCACATTACTTTTTTTGCAGTATAATTAAGCAAACGAAATGTCATTTTACAAATTGACATTGACCCAGAAAGAAATACTGCCAAATTATTACATTAACAGCTATGTTGCTTGGCTCATACCCAGTACTATTTGAAGAGAACAGTGAACAGTGTCCTATTACTAGGGACAGAGAGGTGCATATTATAAGATTCAGAGCTAGTATCATCAAGTCAACAGAGACAGTGTCATCATTCTTGATTAAATAGTGATGGTGCTGTTAAAGCTGATGTGATTTTAATTACATAGTTACATTGGTCCTCCTTGGACCAATATAAGTATGCATGTCTCATACCTGACAGGTCACTGAAGTCCTGGGTCTGGGTCTTTGTTTGGTACCAGTGCCATTCATAGAGCGTCTTGTGTTCTTTCCAATAAATACAAAGCCTTCTCTGATCAGTTGAAGTGGACATCATGACATCACAGCTCCACCTCCCCCAAATCCAACCAGAGAATGCTTTGTAACAAGGCATTTTGCGAACGGCAGCAGTGCTGACCTGTGGTCAGTGTGCAGTGGGGCAGGCGCTTGGCACAGGAACTGGAAGATCATGGTGATCACTAGAATAACACTGACTAGGTCTCAGTCACTCACAAATACCGCTGCATATAGGTATTCATTTTACCCAATGTTCTATGCAACCTCCAGGCTTCAGATCCCAATCCAGGATTTGCCAATCTTGTAGAAAATTGAAGGGCCAGATTGAGACATCAGACACATATCCCATGGCCCCTTAACCTGCATGTGTTAGAATTCTTGGTGACACCACTGTCTCCCTCCACTATGTCATAAAGTAGTCCTGAAACAGTATATTGGGTTTCTCCAGCCACACTATTATATTTCTTTTTCAGGTACTTATATAGCACCTTCAATTTATGCAGCACTTTCCATACAGTATATATTTTACATTCACATCAGTCCCTGCCCTCAAGGAGCCTACAATATAAAGTTCCCTAAATCACATACCAGGGCCAATTTATATAGCAGCCAATTAACCTACCATAATATCTTTGGGAGGAAACCCACACAGGCACAGGGAGAACATGCATACTCCAGGCAAGTAGTGCCATGTTTGGGATTCTAACCAAAAACTCTAGTGCTGCCAGGCAGAAGTGCTAACTATTTAGCCACTGTGCTGCCCATTTGCTTTCTATTGCCAGTTTTCTGTTATACCTACACTCACTGGCCACTTTATTAGGTAAACCTTGCTAGTTCCGGGCTGGACCCCCTTTTGCCTTCAGAATTATCTTAATTCTTCATGGCATAGATTCAACAAGTTGTTGGAAACATTCCTCAGAGACATGAGTTACTGTTGCCTTTCCATCATCTCCAACCAGTCTGCCCATTCTCTTCTGACCTCTGACATCAACAAGGCATTTCCGTCCACACAACGGCCACTCACTGGATATTTTCTCTTTTTTGGACCATTCTCTGTAAACCCTAGAGATGGTTGTGTGTGAAAAATCCCATTAGATCAGAAGTTTTTGAAACACTCAGACCAGCCCATCTGGCACCAGCAACCATGCCATGCTCAAAGTCACTTAAATCCCCTTTATTCCCCATTCTGATGCTTGGTTTGAACTGCAGCAAGTCGTGTTCAACAGGTGTACCTAATAAAGTGGCCAGTGAGTGTATACAATATATATATATATATATATATATATATATATACACACAGTATATCGGAACAAAACCCAACATAAATCAATAAATTCAGAAAACTACTAATACACATATGTATACAAATCTAATTATAATAATATAATAAAATACTATAGATTACAAAACAAAAAAGCATTGGGAATTAATAAAAACCAGTATGAACAAATGCACTGGGAACTAAATTCAGGCACTCCTCAACACTAAAAAAGGTCAGGCCAACCAGTTCTGCTTGCAGAGGTGGTGTGTCTTTTTATTTTTTATTTATAAGGCCATCCCCATGGTCAAAAAAACACAGGTAGGGATGGCTACTAGCTCAGCCATGTGCCCCCCAGAGATAATTATTACAAGGAATATTGCCTTATAGATGAGATGCCTCTATTGGGTTGAAAAGGCCATTTCTGAAGCACAGAAAGAAAGCCAGATTAGGTCTTAATCAAGGAGGGAGAGGCCAACAGTCTCCAGAAGAACATGTAAATGGCTCAAACCTGACTTTTGATAGTGCTGAAACTAAACACGATTATATCCATGGACTACTTGGTGTCAAGAATGTACCTCTGGCTGGAGGTGCCCAGGTATGCACTCAAAGTACTAGCCTTCCCTGCTGCCCGTGTCATGTCAGAGAGGGCTTTCAAAACAGCAGGGAGATTGTAACTCAGATGCTGTCTTTTATTGACCTGGAGGGTGTCTGGTATTTTGGGTGCACATAATTTTAACAATTTTTTTCAAATGAAGCAGTGAAATGAAGCAAAGAATGTACAGTAACTCTTGAACATACTGTCACCAGCAACTGCCTTATGTGCTCTGACCACCCGGAGCTGAAAATTATAATCTGAACATCATTTGTCAACAGCAGCAGAACATTTTTATTGAGGGATAATTGTCTGACATATCTTAAAGACAAACAGCAAAGGTTGGGGCATAAAAATAAGAACAAATATATACTAAAAGATACAGCTGTGTAAAATTGGCAAGCAGCAGGACATTTTTAATCAGGGATAATAGGCCTAACCAGTATATGCCTACGTCGTATTTTTATTCTAGGAATTTTTTTTTTTCAAACAATGCAAAATTACAAAAAAATAGTGAAAAGACCACAATAATAAAAAAAAAATAGACGAGGAGTTAAAGAGATAGCTATCAATCCTTAACCACAAGCCTACAGGGCACTTATACCCCCTTCCTGCCCAGGCCAATTTCCAGCTTTCAGCGCTGTCGCACTTTGAATGACAATTGCGTGGTCATGCAACACTGTACCCATATGAAATTTTTATCATTTTCTTGTGACTCTGGGTTTTTTATTTTTACTTAAACCAAAAACCACTGAAAATTTTGAAAAAAAAAATGTTTTTTTCTTAGTTTTTGTTACACAATTTTGTAAATAAGTGATTTTTCTCCTTCACTGATGTGCGCTAATGAGGCTGCAGTGATGGGCACTGATAGGCTGCACTGATGGCCACTGATAGGTTGCACTGATGGGCACTGATGAGGAGGCACTGGTAGGTGGCACTGATAAGCATTGACAGGCATCACTGATGGGCACTGAAAGGCAGCACTGATATATGGCACTGATAGGCAGCACTGATAGGTGGAACTGACTTGCACTGATAGGCGGCACTGAAAGGCACTGATGCGCACTGATTGGCAGCACTGATAGGTGGCACTGATTGGCATTGATAGGTGGCACTGACTGGCACTGATGGGTGACACTGAAAGGCAGCTCAGATGGGCACTGATATGTGGCATTGATGTGCACTGGTAGGCACTGATATGTGGCATTGATGTGGCACTGATGGGCACTGACACAAGGCACTGATGGACACTGACAGGTGGCACTGCTGGGGCTACACTGATCATCAGGGCACACTGATCATCAGTGCCCTGATGATAAGTGTAGATGTCCCCTCCGCGCAAAGCTGATTACCGGCTCCCCCTCTCGAGTTGTCAGCGTGACAGCTCGCAAGGAGAGAAATGCCGATAACCGGCATTTCCCTGTTTACATGTGATCAGCTGCGATTGGACACAGCTGATCACATGACCGAGCCGACATCCTCAGCTCTTTCTGTGATCAGTGATCCGCTGTGTCCAAGGGACACAGCGCATCGCCGATCGCTGCACACGCGCAGTTAGAATGGGAGGACGTCATATGACGTCCTCCCAGAACGAGAGAACCACATTGTGTCAGTCATATTACTGTATGGCGGGCAGGAGGTGGTTAAAGAGATTTTTGGGTATACAGATCTGTGCACACTGGCAGTGGCAAATGTACCCTCAGAACTGAAATTCAAAAAATTTAGGCATAATTTGTTAACGTAGACGTCAACCCAACCACTGAAATCCTATATACTGTAAGCTTTTCTGCAATACTATCACATATAAAGTGTATTTTTATTTGAATGGCTAGCTTTCATGAAAATAACAGATGGCAATGGTGCAGGTGAATTAATGGTCTTTCTTTTGGTACTTGGGGTGACAATGCTTTGCCCATCTCCCACAATCCCCTGCCTGCAAATCGCCCAGTAACATGTTCTCCTAAAGGAAACTATAAGCTGATGTAGATTGAACAGACATATATCACTGTTATCACCAAAAAAAACAACAATTAGGAAGTACACTGTGTGAAAAAAATGCATGCAGCCTGTTTGGATTGTAGTGCATGTGTACAGGGATATGCTGTAAAGAAGCTGCAAGACATTAGCAAAATTCAGATGTAAAAACCTTTCCCATCTCTAAAATTCCAAAAGATACACAGTATGTTTACAGAATATTCAAAAATGTTTACATTGGCTTTAAGAGACCAATGCCTACAAGCCCTAGACCAGGGGTGGGCAAACTTTTTGACTTGAGGGCCGCAATGGGTTCATATATTGGACCCGGGGGCTGGACCAAGAGTAGATGAATGATGTGTATGTGTCATCCATAGCAAGTATAGTAATATTCCCCCATAGTAAGCATAGTAATTAATCCCCCATATAGTAATTCATCCCCCATAGTAATTCATCCCCCATAGTAATTCATCCCCCATATAGTAATTCATCCCCCATAGTAATTCATCCCCCATAGTAATTCATCCCCCATATAGTAATTCGTCCCCCATATAGTAATTCGTCCCCCATAGTAATTCATCCCCCATATAGCAATTCATCCCCCATATAGCAATTCATCCCCCATAGTAATTCATCCCCCCATATAGTAATTCACCCCCCATATAGTAATTCATCCCCCATATAGTAATTCACCCCCCATATAGTAATTCATCCCCCATATAGTAATTCATCCCCCATATAGTAATTCATCCCCCACATAGTAATTAATCCCCCATATAGTAATTCATCCCCCATAGTAATTCATCCCCCATATAGTAATTCATCCCCCATATAGTAATTCATCCCCCATATTAATTCATCCCCCATATAGTAATTCATCCCCCATATAGTAATTCATCCCCCATAGTAATTCATCCCCCATATAGTAATTCATCCCCCATAGTAATTCATCCCCCATATAGTAATTCATCCCCCATAGTAATTCATCCCCCATAGTAATTCATCCCCCATAGTAATTAATCCCCCATATAGTAATTCATCCCCCATAGTAATTAATCCCCCATATAGTAATTCATCCCCCATATAGTAATTCATCCCCCATAGTAATTCATCCCCCATATAGTAATTCATCCCCCATATAGTAATTCATTCCCCATATTAATTAATCCCCCATATTAAGTCCCCAAGTCCCCCCTGTGTCAATTCACTTACCTTTGCTCCGCGCGTTCCTCTTGTTCCCGCGCTGTTCGGTGTAGTAGCATGAAAATCTGTCTCCTATGAGGATCTGTCCCCCTCGACGTATCTGCGCATGTGCCAGTTTCAGGCATTAGCAGCCGATCGGCGATCTCTGGCACATGCGCAGATACGTCGAGGGGGGACAGATCCTCATAGGAAACAGGGCGGACTGTGAGGGGAGCCTAGCTCCGCGGGCCGGATTAAAAGGTCCGCCGGGCCGTATACGGCCCGCGGGCCGTAGTTTGCCCATTGCTGCCCTAGACTAATTTGTTCCCATACACTATCAGAAGCACTTCCAATGCTTTTTACTTTCACAGCTAGGCACATTGTGAATATGACTGCTGGGAACCCAACCTTTCATTGTGAGTGGGCTGGTTATTCTAAACCCCCTTACTGGTCCTTCTAAGATTTTTTTGAAGTTCAAAGGCCACAACGTACATTATTAGTAGTTGAATGCCATGGTGGCAAAATAATGCATTGGTTTTGTGGGTTCATAAATGGATTGGATTCACCTTGAACCCATATTTCTCTGGAACCCAAATTTAATCCCACCCAGTAGCAACATATCACATTGGCTTTCATTGTATGCAAAATAATTGATTTCATTACTTTTTATTAGTGTTAGTTAATCAGCTCCATAGAGTGAAACATAGTCATGTTCAACAGTTCAAAGAGCTGGTGTTAATGGTCTCATCAGTTCTACATAAAAAATGTTGCACTTGAGATCCTATCACTGGCAACAACAAGCTAGCGACAGGATCACTAGAGAAAGCAGAGAAACTACTCACCTGTTTCCACAGTATTGCTACCTTGCTGGTTAGGTCAGTGACATTTCATATCATTGCTGGAGAAAGATTTTGCAACATTCCCCATAACTGAAGGAGGAACACCTCACCGAAATGATCAGCGAGGAAGCAATGCAGTGAAACAGGTGAGTAGTTTTTTTCTGCCCTATTTAGTAATTATCTCATCAGCATGCTCCTTGCAGTGCAGCACACCTTGTCTGCTTCTCTTATCCCCTTTCTGAGCATTGCTTTACAGAAACTACAAAAGGCTCATACCAAATCAAAGTCAGGTACTTACAATGCAAAAAAGTGGAAATTAAATTAAATCAATTCTAAAGGCTTACATTTTTTTTTCTAATAATAACAAACATGTCTATACTTACCTATTCTCTGCAATGGTTTTGCAGCCCGGATCCTCTTCTTCTGAGGCCACCTGCAGGCTCTCCTGGCACCTCCCTCTTGTCAGTTGCCCCCACAGCAAGCAGCTTGCTATGGGGGTACCCACTGTTCCGTGTATTTATTCACACACAGAGCCGTGGCTTGGCCCTACCCCCTCTTCTCATTGGCTCACTGGCTGTGATTGATAGTATGTCTCTACTTACCTACTCTGTGCAATGGTTTTGCAGCCCGTATCCTCTTCTTCTGAGGTCCCCTGCAGGCTCTCCTGGCTCCTCCCTCTTGCCAGGTGCCCCCACAGCAAGCAGCTTGCTATGGGGGTACCCACTGCTCCTTGTGCCCATTCACACACAGACCCGTGGCTTGGCCCCACCCCCCCCCTCTTCTCATTGGCTCACTGGCTGTGATTGACAGCAGTGGGAACCAATGGCTCCCACTGTTGTATCATCCAATGAGGAGAGGGAGTCCCAAGTTAGCCGAGACTCCAGTGCACATCACTGGATTGAGAGGGGGCTTAGGTGAATATTAGGGTGGGCTGGGGGGGGGATGCTACGCAGAGAAGGTTTTTACCTTCATCCATAAAATACATGAAGGCAAAAACCTTCAGCCTTTACAACCACTTTAAGTGCAGAAAATGATGTCATGTAAAAAACACAGCCTCAATTTACTTTTATTTCTCTGATATACTTACTCTGTTGAACTTTATTGCAATTATGAATCACCACAAACACATTCAAATCTTGTATTATTTCAGATACGCATAATCCCTGTCTTGGCAATCATTCTCTTAGGAGGTAAGTACACAACATAAAGAAGCTTTACATTTCAATTTAAAGCTTACCTTTCCTGGGAGCTGCCATTGGTTACCTCCTTCTGAACATGTGCTGGTTACATAGTTACATAGTTTCAAAGGTTAAAAAAGACACAGGTCCATCCATTTCAACCTATGTGTGTGCGTGATTTTAATTTTCTAACAATTCTCATAGCCCTGTATATTCTGCTTCCTGAGGAAGACATCTAAAATGTTTTTGAAGTTGTGGACACTCTTAGATAGTACTACTTCCTGGGGGTGGAAATTCCAAATGTCTAGTGTTCTAGAAAAAAAGAACCCCTTCGGTGATCTAGGGCTAAAAATCCTTTCTTCTTATTTCAAATTGTGGCCACATGTCCTCTTCAGGGACCTTAGCAAAAACAATGACTGGAATCACCTTTAATATATTTGTATATTGGAATCATATCCCCTCTTAAACACTTCTTCTACAGAGTGAATAATTGTAATCTATGTAACTTGGTCCTCATAGTTGAGGTCCTTCATCCCCCTTATTAATTTTGTTGCACTTTGCTGAACTCTTTCTAATTCAACAACATCTTCCATGGGGGTTGGTGACCAGAACTGAACTGCATATTCAAGATGAGGCCAAACCAGTGTTTTATAAAGGGGTAGAATGATTAATTTTTCTCTAATGTATACCCATTTTAAGGCATAACAGTATTTTGCTTTGTCAGCTGCTGCTTCACATTTAATGCTATTGCTAAGTCTGTGATCTATAGCCATCCCCAGATCCTTTTCCATCACTGCTTCCCGTAGGTCCAGAGCCCCTCCTGATGTGTATTTATGGTACCCAACTGTATTACTTTGCAGTTCTCAATATTGAATCCACTGGAGTCGCTAGGGGGGTTGCGGGCCGCACCGGGTGACACAGGGAGTGCAGGAGCAGGATGCCAGCAGAGCATCTGAGCTCTGTGAAGGTCCTGGCCAGTTATTGGGGTGATCCCGGATTCCCGGCACAGCGACAGCTGCCCCCCGGAGTGGCGGTAAAATGAGTATCCCATGAAGATATGTATCCCCTGAAGCCACTGCACATGTGCCAGTTTCAGGCCGAAGAAGCCGTTCGCTGATCTCCGACTTTAGCACAGAGCTGCCACAGTTAACCCCTTACAGGCTGCAAACCGCTGAAGCTGATCCCGCGGTTCACTATGGGTTGCAAGATCAGTTAAGCCCCTTTACGTTCAACCTATACGGGATCAGCTTCAGTGGTTTTCATCCTGTAAGGGGTTAACTGTGGCAGCTCTGTGCTAAAATTGGAGATCGGCTTCTTCGGCCTGAAACCGGCACATGCGCAGATGCTTCAGGGGATACATACCTTCACGGGATGCTCATTTTACTGCTACACTGGC